GTACTACCATAAAAAAAATAGGACTGGAGATTTAGCTCAATAGCATAGCACCTGCCTGACAGGTGCAAGGTCCTGAGTTCCTTTCCATTAAAACAAAACAAAAACCTAAACTGAGTAAACCAAACAGAATCCACTGACACAATTACTCTTTGGTGATATAGAAAGATGGCCAGGGATTACCCAGGGAACCCCTTCTGCCTATCCAGTTAATGCATGTATAGATTATCATTATGTTCCTGGGAGTTCCAAAGAATCAGAACTTGTTTCTGAAGACCTGGGTTGTACTCATATAGCATTTATAATAAGTCGTGTTTGTCTGAAGCCATTCAGATAGCAGAGAGACCCTCATACATTCTTAGGAATATGCATATATGCTGGCTTCACAGAAAAAAATAATCTTGCTTCATCTCTGTTGCTCCTCTTCTCCTCCTCCTGCTTCCCTTTCTTCCTCTTCTGTTTCTCCTTCTTTTTTTCCTTGCACTGAAGACTGAACCCAGGGCTGTCTAATTGAGTTAGCCCTTTTTTATTTTTCAAGACAGATTCTCACTCAAATTTTTATCCTCCTGCCTCAGCCTGCCAGAAGGCTGGGATTAGAGACATGCACCACTATGCCTGATTTGTTCTTGCTTCATTATATACCCAAGATTTTTAAAGCGCTTCCATTTTGATAAATTATCAAATGCATTCCTCATCTCTTCTACCCATTTTCCAGTGGCCTCTACCCTGGCTTTCTTCTGTTGTAGTAAACATTTAGAGTTAAAAATACACTTGATGGGAGTGGCCTGAGGCTTGCTGACTTCAACACTACTGTCCTTGTAAGGCAGGACCAGGGAGACAGAACAACAGAAAAAAATAACTGGTTGGCTAACATCAAGTTACTTCCAGTTACCTTTTTAAAGCAAGGACTAGGCAGAAGGAATTTCTTTATCATTACTGTTGAAACAGACCCTTTTTTTGAAAGTTTGGCTGTTATCGCTTATTTTTTTTTTTTTTTTTTGGTTTCTTAGGATGCTGGGTAAACAGCTTAGTTTTGGTTGGTGACTTGGTATGTTAGCATGAGTGACTCCATTTTTATTTTTAGTCTGGTCCTGAGGTCCAGCACAGGAACCAAGTCCAAAAACTGGCCTCCTGTGATATTTATTTAAAACTAATCTAAGGCCACACAGCCAAGGAGTGCCAATGCCCAGCGAGATATAACCCAGGCCGCCCTTGCCCTCAGTGACCTAGTGGTCATAAAGGTGGTCTCATGGAATAAAATACTGGTACTTATGTGCAGATATATTAACAGGGTCTTTCTTGCCTTAGTTCTAATCAGTAAGTGAGTTTTATTGTTATTCTGTTTACTTTTTTTTTTTTTTTTTAAACAGGGTCTCAAACCTAGGGCTGGCCTTGAACTCCCTCTGCAGCCTAGGCTGGCCGTGAGCTCTTGGTGATCCCCTTGTCTCTGGTATTGGGATTACAGGCAGTATGCAGCCACACCCAGTGCTGTTTATAATCATTCTTCCAATGAGAAGCTGCAGTTTATCTAGTGGAATGAGATTAGATTTTCATCCCTAAAAAAGGATTGTTTTCCATGCTTGTCCTTGGGTCTTTATCCTATTAGTCAGCTGATTACCTTAAGTAATTAACTTTCTCTGTGTATATAAATTTAACCTGACTTGGCATGGTGGTATATGTCTGTAGTCCCAAGTACTCAGGAGACTGACACAGGAAGATCACTTGAGTCCATAAATTTGAAACATAGTAAGACCCTATCTCAAAAAACAAAACCCAACCAAATAAAAAAACAAGAAAATGCTTTCATAACATAGCCCTGTTTGATGAAGTTACATTCATGCTAAAACAAGTCATTTAACATACTCAATATAGCAGAAGAAAAAAGTCTGTGTCCTCTCTGGATATTTGTTGGTATTAAAATGTTGGATGAGTAAGTCAAAGACTGCTTCAAAAACTGCCTGTGTGGTGATCAGGATTATTAAAATTTAAACATCAATATTCTTTTTCTCTCCCTGATGTGACTGAAAATCAGTATGATATTTTCTGTAATATAACAGCCTGGAAGAAACACTTGGAAATCTATAAGAAAATGCTACAGTCTTTCTTGAGAAAGGGCATACTGGGGATTAAACCAGGGCCATCACACTGAGCTGCATCCCTGGTCCTTTTGTTTTATTTTGAGACAGGGTCTTAAACAAGACTAAATTGCCTAGTCTGTGTTCAAACTTTCAGTCCTCCTGCCTCAGCCTCCCAGAGGGCTGAGATTACAGGTGTGTGTCACCCTGCCTGACTGATCCCTGGCATTAGCGCATGAGCTGTTGGAAGCCTCTGGAACCCATCAATGTGGGCCTGACCAACGTTTCAGCTCCTGTAACCTGGACTTGTCTTGTTGTCCTCAGCACAGGGACTCCGGGTTTGAGCCCCTCTGTCTCCCCACTCTGTCTTTTCCCCAGAGCCAGGATTTTCTCACCCTCTTCCCCACACAAGGCTTCCCGGGATCCTCCTGCAGTTCAGAATGGTGTCTTCTTTTCCTTCACAGTGGTGCCACTTCAATGCACATTTCCGTGGCAATATAGATGACACAAGGTCACGTAAGAAACAGGGAAAGGTGCAGTCCAGCTTCAGCATAGGGCACAATGCAAACCATTCAATGGGCTGTGTTTTGGGAGTTTGGAATATTTCTTTGAATTGTTTCAAAAGGCTTTTTTAAAAAAAGGCTAAGCAGCTAGGGAGAATGTCATCAGGTCACCCTTTCCTTACGCTGGAGGGGTTGGCGAAGGAGAGGCCAAGTGTGAGGATGTAGAGAAAGGAAATAAATGTGGAATAGGCAGGAAAGAAACTTACTGGGATGCAGGAAGCCAGAGACCCTGGAGAGGAAATGAAGGAAAGGCAGGCACCACAAACTAGGCCAGGAATGGAAGTAAACACACCCAGGAGCCAAGTTCTCATGTGACACCGTCCCAGGCACTGTGTTTGTTTGCACCCTTCTTTCCCTGCCTGGGAGAGTTGCGTGCACTCCAAGTCATTCCCAAACACAGATGTGCAGAATCAGAAGGACCGAGTCACAGATACAGACTCCTGAGCCATGCTCACCCAGGGAAAGGCACTTAGAAATTTTCTCTCCAGGTTTTTAGCTTCATTCAACGTAACCAGTTCAGGAAATGCTCCTGCACAGTGCCTTAAGAGTTGGCCACCAGGGCTGGGGATATAGCTCAGGGGCACAAGTGCTTGCCTGGGTAAGCACAAGGTCCTGAGTTCAATTTCCATACAAAAAGAATTGACCGCTGTTTAGCAAACCAGTCCTCACCTTGGAGAGAGTTTTTAGAAGGACAATTCAATTGCAATTCAATAAAATACAACTGTAACTCAGTACAGCCTGCAGACTGATGCTTGTTGATCTTGTATGTAGTATATTTGTAAACATTCTGTGGATGGGTGGATCATCTGTGCTGTGCATAAACCAATGATGTTTAATCTAAAGATGTCATTTCCAGCCAGGTGTAGTGGTGCACACCTGTAATCCCAGCACTTGGGAAGCTGAGGCAGGAGGGTTGTTGTGAGTTTGAGACCAGTCTGGGCTACAAACACGGTGAGATCCTGTCTCAAAAGGACAAAAAATAAATAAATAAATAAAATAAAAATAAAGATGGCATTTTAATTGGAGATCAACGGAAAGATAAATGTCTTAATTGGGAAATCTATAGACATATAAACAGCCAGATGAATAAATAGTAAAACAACTACTTGAAGTAGACAGTAAGCAAGTGATCACTGTGAGTTCTCAGAATTGTTGACTGGATAGCCCATGTTCTCTAGCCTGCAAGGGTAATTCTCTCCTCTTGTTTTATTTTTTGATTAAACAATAGACGTTTATTTCTCATGGTTCTGGATCTTGAAAGTCAGTGGTCAGGTGCAGCAGATTTGGCACCTGATAAGAGCAGTTCTCTACTTCCAGGCTGGTACTTTGTTTTATTTATTTGTTTGATTATTTGTGTATTTTTTTTGTGTGTGTGGTACTGATGCTGTATTTGCAGTCCTTTTTATTTTTTGGTTTGAGTTAAGGTCCAGTTAAATCACCAAGTTGCCCACGCTGGGCTCACGCACACTGGTGGTTTTTCTGCCTCTGTGGCTCAGAGTGCCGGGATTTCAGGTGGGTGGTGCTGCACCTGGCTGTGGCCTTCAGCAATTCTTTGTTGTTGGAGGAATTTCCCAGTGCATGCATAATCCCTTCTCCAGGGGAAAAATCAAGGAGAAAATATTACTGAAGGCATTTTTTCTTGCCCTTGCAGCCTTGCATTGGTTTCATAGTCTTGCATTGATTTCACTGAAGAAATTAAGCAAATATTTCCAAGCATGCAGTGTGTGTTGTCTTTTTTATATTAAAATATTTAATCATGGCTACCTCTTGAATACTCTAAAAGACGAAAGAAAAGAAAATGTTCTTACAAATTAATATGTATGGCACACACCTTTTTCCTACATTAATATTCCTAAATAGCTTTCTGTAGAATGCTTTTCTTGAATTTTAAAACCTCATTCATTTTCATAAAATATTGACATTGTTTTAGGAAAGAAATAATTCAAAATACAGTTGGGATAACTTGTTTTATTTCTACTAATGAGACAAATTTTATTTTTAAGTTTTATTCTAGTTTAGGAATATAGAAGAAGGATGAAGCACTTGCCCTAGTACTGTTCATAAAGTATCTTTTCTGCTGTAATTTTAGAATCCTTCCTGGAGAGCTTGTGATGCATCTCATACATAACTGTGATCCCCGAGGATGCTTATTATTCAGCAGGAGGTTTTCTCGTATCAAAATGTTGAAAAGAGGTCAGAATAGAGAATATTCAAATATTTAATACCTCAAACCAGTGGCTGGAGAAGTGAAAGGAAGAAAGAAGGGAGGGAAGGAGGGCAGGAGATAACAAATCTCCTGACCCGTAAGTGCTACTGAAATTTAATAATTAAGAAACAAATACACAAAAAGGAAAGTGAAACGATCTGTTTTTTAAACACCAACTACCTTTATTAGAAAAGAAGAAAGTCATGAAATATCCTCATATCTTTTCTGAAGAAGAAACAGTCTGTAAGTGCCAAAAAAAAAAAAAAAAAGAAGGTTTTTTGGCATTCGGCCCCCTTAGTAGACTTTATCCTCTCCCCCCGTAAAGGGGTGAAGGAAGCTCGAGGCAGGCAGGGTCCTGTGCTGTGTCCTTGGAGGAGAAGGCTTTCCGGGCCCTTCCCTGTAGTATCACTTCTTTGTATTGGAAATCAGGAAACTCCTGGGCTGTAAGTAGAATTAGGAAAGTAGAATCAGGCTCTGGGCCTTGTCTTTTCCTGCCTTATTTGACATGCAAAACTGACTCTCTGAAGAGGACCCCAGAGCTCGCCCTGGGTCAAGAAAGCCTCAGGCCATCCCAGAGTGGAAAACTGAAAGGAAAGCTCAGGGGCTTTGACCTGCAAAGCTGGAGAGAGAATCCCTGGGAAAGCGTGCTAAACAAATCTGACTTTATCACTGTGTGCCTCCTGCGGAGACTGTGCCCTAAAGCGTGGTAGGACGCACGATGGCTCGCTTTCTCAAAATGCTGTTTGCTGTATGCAGCGCCTGTGTGTGCCTGGTCTTCTCTCAGGGATTTCTAGACGGTCCATTTTCCAAGGGTCATTAACATTATTTAAATATTCATAGCGGGGGCGGGGATGACAGACTGAAATTTCAGCCTGTGCCTGAATGAGAGATGGCTGGCCACCTGCCTCCTGAGCCCCACGCTGCGTATCAGCTGCGGCCTCCTTTCCCACCGCTGGCACTGTTGCCACACGCGATTTGACAGCACAAAGCTACCGGCTGCTGCGTGGGGAGGGTAGCGTGAAGGCTCCGAGGAGATCGTCAAGCACCTGTGTCCACATCTCAGCCACATCCAGGGAACCCCGGAACACAAGGGGTCAATCGTGGTTCTAGGGGACCAGGGGCCCTCTCTCCCCGCGGGTGGGAACTCAAGAGCTACTGGCGAGGTGAGCGCGCACAGGCACCCACATGCATTCATACACATGCGTACACACACACCTTGCACGCCGACACACCCACTTGTGCGCTGACACTTGGCCACAGTTCCGACACTCAGAGCTCTCCCTAGTTAGGAAACATCCAGCATCGTGCCCCCGGTCCGTCCCACCACTCGCCATCCATCCGGTCTCTCCACTCTTATTTCTCGATTTGTGCACAGATCCGGCCGGGGCTGGGGAGGGAGAGCAAGTGGGTGGGGAGGGGAGGTGGGAGGGGCGGGGCAGAGGCGGGGCGGCGCCAGGCCCCGGAGGGTGGGCGGGGCTCGGCCGCCTTCTGCGCCCCCAGCGGCCTCCGCTCCCTGCAGATGCGCTGGCCCCAGCCCGGGGCAGCCGCGCTGGTCTCCGATTCACGGACGCCCCGACAGCGGCCGCTGGAACCCAGTCCGAGGACTGCGTCCCCGGAAGCCGGCGCCCAGAGGTGGGTGTCCAGGCTGGAACGCGCGCCCGGGACACTGGAACCCAGTGTCCCCGGGTGTGGGGAAAGCGCGGGCGGCGGGAGGCCAGGGATCTGGTAGCTCTCCGAGGCGCCAGGGGCTTTAACAGCCTAGCGGATCCTGTGCGCGAGGCGGGACTGCTGGATGGGTTTTGGCAGGGTGCGTTTGAATTCTTAGGCGAGGAGGAACGTCGGGCTTTTTGGCTGCTTTATCGAGTACTTATTGACTTGTGTATAATCTTAAAAATAAACTTAGGACACCCCCCACTCCTCGCGACACACAGCAGAGATGATCAGGCAAAAGCTGTGAAATCAGAAGACAGCTGTGGCTGTCTGTCCAGACCTTGGCGGACTGAGCATGGAGCCCCGGTTCCAGCTGCGGGGAGGACGCGGGTCTCCTCCTAGGATGGCAGAGCCGGGGGCATTCTCGAAAGTCCAGAGCTTTGCAGAGAAGGGGAGCCTGAGGTCTGGAACGCTTGGTCTCCAGCCAGCCCGGGCCTTTTTGAACTGGGGTGTGGAGAGCCGAACTCTGGAGACCCGGCAAGAAGGAGCAAGAGGGTAGCAAGAGGGCACGAGTTGGGCCTGGAAGTTTGGCCCGAGGGTGGATCTGGGGTTCATCCGCGATGAAGCCGGCCCACATCTCTTCGGGGCCATCGTGGGGTCACTTAGGGGAGCCGAGGGTGGGGGGAGTCCCGGGTAAGCCGCGTAGGAGCACGGAGACCCTGGCGGCCGGAGAAATTCTCCGGAAACAGCCGAGGAGGGGACCGGAATGAAGCGGGTGGGAGCGGCGAGCCCGCGCCCGGGACGGTGCGCAGGTGGCTGGGAGGGAGCGGAAGGCGGCGGCGGGCTGGGCGGGCAGCCGGGCTGGGCTCCGGAGCCTGTCGGCCCCGGGGATCCTCCCCACCCTCGGAAAGGGGGCGTCTGGGGCCAGAGATGGTTTGTTTAGAGAGGCGCTGGAGTGTCTTTCCAGACCCGGTAGAACCAGTTTCTCGCGTAGCGGTTTGGCTCTGATGGATTGCGTGCTCAGACTTTGACGAATCAGAGCCCTTCCCAGCAGCGGTGTTAAGTGCTGTGCGGATAACGCGGCGAGGTTCCCCAGAGAGACGCGACCTGCACGCGTCTGTTTCCTCTCCGGCCAGCGCCTTTCTGGCTCCGCGCTCAGTCGCCGGCGCCTGGAGGCTGGGGTGCGCAAACCCACCTGCCTCTGTGGTCCCGGGGCGCTGCTTTCCTTGTCTTTGTTCGGATTAGAGCTCTCTGAAGCAAGGCGCTTTCCTTCATGGAAGTGTTCCCCATTTAATTAAACAGCCACTCTTCCTCCCAGGCTGGCAGCCCCCCAGCGTTAATCAATAAAATTTTCTGGTAACATGGCTAAAAATGAGGAATGTCTGAGAACGACTTTCTTTATCCTATTTGCCCATTTATTTACTAATTTATAGTATTGGGCTTTGGACCCAGGGTCTCATGCGGGCCAGGCAAGCCCTGTATCTGTTTCTTTAGACATAAAAGACTTCTGTGCTGTAAACTGATTTCCAGGGTCTAGCAGCCTCCTTCCCAGTTTTGACCCTCGGCCCTTTCTTAAAGAGCATTTTCTCCTTTGAGTCACTTGGACCCTAAAAGTTACTTTGTTTTGCACCAACAAAGTTAGTCCTGATCTAGAATAAACAAAAGTGGTACCGCTGGTCTCCCCATTGTGTACCTAACAGATTGTGCCGTAGAGTTCCTTCTCCTCACTTTCTGGGATGCTGTGTGTCCTAAGAGAGACAGCTGGGCTTTGAGATGGGACAAACATTTTGAAATCCTTGTTATCTCAGCTCTGGCCTAACTGTGGGCTCCACTTTCAGCCTGCAGAGTTCAGAGTTATGTCCACAGAATTCATTTCACTTTCATAAGTGGCTTATTGTGACTTGGTAGGATCTCTTCTGTATAAAGGGAAATAGATTGTGTTAACTTGTCAACTGAGGGAACATGATCCGTTAGTTGCTTTATTCCTAAAATTTTCAAAACTTTATTTTTAGAACTGACACATTGAATGTTAGTAAGCATGCTAAGATTTTGGGCTTTCTAGTTACTATAATTCTTGTCTAGATACTAGCCTGATAGATTTGATGGGTTCTTAAAATGCCTGTATCCCAGATTTCTATCACAGTTGTTATTACGAATCTCTGTCAGGGTAATGAGAAATGTTTCATAAAAAAAAAAAGAAGGGGCTGGGGATTTAGCTCAGTGGCTTAAGCTCCTGCCTTGCAAGCAGGCAGTCGTGGGTTCAATCCCTGGTACCGATAAAAACGAAAAAGACAAAAAAAAAAAAAAAAAAAAAGGCGAAATTGAACCTAATTGGAGGCTGAATGGGGATAGGGGTGGGTTTTAACAGTTGAAATGAGAGTGGGCTGAAATTTTACTTTTAAAGACCAGGGTTTTGATATTTAGTTCCAATCTTTATTTTTATATATGCTTCAGTGCTGGGAACATTGGTGCTCTGGCTAGAATTACTTTCTCAAGCAGATGTTCTTTGATCTTAAAGATTCAAAGTCACCATTTGCAATACACTTATGAGGTTTGACCATTTTAGTCAGTTAATAGAAAATATTTGTGTGTGTGTGCACGCTGAGTCAAATTCAAGGGTTCTTTACCTCTGAGCTACAGACCCAGCTTTTTAGTTTTCATTTTGAGTCAGGGTCTAGCTGAACTACCTGGGCTGGCCTTGAATTTGTGGTCCTCCTGCCAAGCAGCTGGGAATATAGGTAGGCACCACCATGCCCACATGGCATAATTTTCTTTATACTGAACAAACCCAACATCCAGATGCAGATATTCTCTGAAGCTTAAAAAAAGAAGGAGTTTAAATTCAGGTCACCCCCTGGTGCCGGCTCTATCCAGCCACAGTTTGGATAGCCTGTGGCAGGGGAAGCTTTGCATGCCATGGTGGTGGTAAAAATCACTCCCCCTTTTACATGTGTCAGCTATATAAGATAATCTCTCTAAGAACACACAAGACTATTATTTTCAAATCTTGGACACTCGCCCTCCAAACACATTTTTCAGGAATATATTATAAAGAAGTTGCAACCAACCCTATTCTAAAAGGAAAATGACTCAGAGGAAGTTACAGGGTTTGTCCATTTGATTTTCTGTAGTATTTAATTAACTTCAGTATTTGAGAGATACAGTGAGCATGCAGGGAGACCACATGTTTAAGACCAGCCGGGGAAGTTTAGAGAGATCCTATCTCATAATAAAATTTAAAGGACTCAAAATAATTTTAAATTTTAAATAAATTTTAAAGTGACTCAAAGGACAAATTTCTTTAAGAAAGGGCCGAGGGTCAAAACTGGGAAGGAGGCAGCTGGACCTTGGAAATCAATTTACAGCCATATATATGCACCCTTGTTTATAGCAGCACAATTCGTAATGGCTAGATCTTGGAAACTACCTAAATGCCCATTGACTGAGGATTGGGTAAAAAAGATGTGGTGTTTTTATACAATGGAGTACTGCTGAGCCATAAAGAAGGATGAACTGGAGACTTTTATAGGTAAATGGATGCAACTTGAGACCATACTGATAAGTGAAATGAAACAGACACACCTGTGTAACCATCGTATTGTCTCCCTCGTGTGAGAATATGGAACAACATATGTATATGTGTATATGTGCATATGTGTGTATATGTGTGTGTGTGTGTGTGTGTGTGTGTGTGTGTGTGTAAAAACTACTTAAGATACTTATGCTACTGATCTCGCTGAGTTCACTGAAGAGAAAGATTGTGCTGGTGTTGTTCAGACAATTGAACACAAATGTCCTGTGTATGACTTGGGGTGACAATGTGTGGAGTGTTTGCAGTGTATTTACCGTTGTTGTCCCCTGATTGATGTGTTTTGAAATTTCGTTTTAGTTTTTCTTTTTTTCTGCTTGACATAAAATGTTTTTTTTTTTCTTTTTTGTCTTTTTTTGAGACGGGGTCTCGCTCTGCAGTTCAGGCTGGCCTTGAGCTCACTTTGTAGCCCAGGCTGGTCTCGAACTCGCAACAATCCTCCCACCTCAGCCTTTCGAGTGCAGGGATTATAGGTGTGAGCCACCACGCCCGGCTCGAAATAAAATGGATTTAAACAAAATAGAATCACACACACACACACACACACACACACACACACACACACACACAAAGGTAGGGGGTGAGTGGATGTAGTTCAGTGCTCCGAGGGTTCAGTCAAAATTTTTCTAAAATGTAATGAATGGCAACCCTGCTTTCTTACCTTGGGAGTTTACTGTGGTCTCCCAGATGACAGCTGGAGATTCTGTAGTGTGACATTAGCATAGCCGTGAATTATGATTTTACAGGACTATAGAACTATAATTGTGGACCACCTCAGGATGACAGCTTTTGTTTGTTTTGTTTGCTTGCTTTGCTATTATTATTATTATTTTAAGAGCAGGCTATATTTATTGAGAGAAAGAAAGCTTCTTTTTGAGAGACAGAAGGGGTTCCCCGTGGGTTGCCCCTTTGTTACTAGTTTTGAGGCAGGCTGGCCTTGAACTCACTGTGTCGCCCAGGCTGGCGTTGACCTCCCTTTGATCCTCCTTCCTCATCCTACTCCTGCCTGGGATTACAGGCATGCCCAGCTCTAAGATACTAGCTTCTTACGAAACTAAAAACCCAATTCAGATTTTCCTTGTCATCATTCTCTTGAAAGTTGACTACCAGGGATTTAGCTCACAGGCTCAAGCCCTGCCCGATAAGTACAAG